TATTATTACGATACTTTGTACTACAAACTATGAAATAATGGTACAATTAGGATAATTATACTACGAAACCAACCCTGGTTACGGCTCAGGACTCGGGAGTAAGTACTCTCTCTCACTCACTCCAGAGTGTAGTCGCGCGACTTGCGTTGCATAGTCGAGCCGCGTTGCCATAGTATCCACCACGCGAAAAGCGTGGGCTATTTAAATTTTTTTGACATAATATTATTTAACAAAGATTTATAATGAAACACCGAAAAGTCGTAAATACCGGTTTCCGTTTACTCAATTCCGGTATTTTAAAGCTTTCGTTTCAGTCCGGTATCCCGAAATTTTCGAGATTCGGGATCCCGGTTTGCGACCCCTAATTATCATCCATAAATTCCTTATAATAATCCCTTTTACACAAACTTAGTTTAATAAAGTTATTGAACTTTGATGATTGATTGAGATAGACAGACAGGAGCAGTGTCAAGACTCTGTTTTAATATGTTTTGGTTGATTACTAAGCACCTCCAAACATCTCATACATTATAACAAAATAACTGGGTAAGAACATGCTTATCTATGTAACCTTCTCAGAAATGAGAGAAGGCCTGTGCCCAGCTGTGGGACGTATACAGGCTGTAACTTTAAAGAATATTTGAAAATGTTGTGATTATAATAATATATTCTTTGATTATAGAACCAATTAAAACACATTTCTAATTTATTTATTTTTTATTCCATTGTTTCATATTGTAAAGGTATTATTACGATACTATGTACTACAAACTACGAAATAATGGTACAATGAGGATAATTATACTACGAAACCAACCCTGGTTACGTCGTGTTTTGATATGACGTTTGTATTATGACAGATGCGCTACTTATTCTTGTATGAAAAAGTTATGAGTAAAATATTTAGATGGGCCTATCCTTCCTTTTCAAATCATTGGGTTTAGCGTGTCTCTTTAAATTTTTTAACTATATTGACTTTTAACTGAAAATTTTGAAGTAATTCGTCTCTTGTTCATGTAACTGTATTCTGTTTCCACTGTACTATTTGAGTTTTTAGCTTTCTCCTCGTATATTTTTATCGATCGGTGTCGTAGATACTCACGCACTGTTTTAAAGACATAATTAACTTGTTGCCTTCACAAATATCTTCTCTAAAATTTCTTCCGAAAAAAAAATTGTATCGAGTTTAACCACTTTATTAAATAAATGAGACAATTTCTTTTCGTATGTAGAATGAGCCCACCACAAATTTTAAGGATTCCTAATCAAACGCATGTCGCTTTATTCCTTATAATCTGTAGATTACAATACAGTTATTAGTTTTAATGCATCTAAACGGAGTCCTGAGAAATTAACAATTAAAATATGAATCTAACAATCAACCTAAACACGAACTGAAAGCGATTTTCTAGTAGTTTTCACCGGTAATTAAAATAGAACATTGTTAAATAATTATAGTACATATAAAACAAAGTTGTAGGTATATTCGGCATTTATAGGTAATTTAAGGTGGATCGAAGATCTTTTCAATAATTACGGCAAAATATAGTGTGTCTGTGCATAAATGTCGTATGGATTCTATTTTTGACATGTATCGATTAATTGTGTGTGTTAAAGTAAATGATTAAAGCCAAGATGACTAAGTGATAATATGTCCATTTATATTTATAATATTATCAACACACGGTAAGAAATATGTTTTAAAGTGGCTGCATTACAAAAAAAAAATATAATGTAATTCTATTTATTATTGTAAATCATAATTTCTAAAATATTCTACTAATAGTAGTACAAAAATGGAAACTTTTTGTTCGACCCCCGAAATAGATTATAAATAATACTAATTGAAGGTCACATTTTTTTATTTACCACGTCCACAAAAACCCATTTTTTTAAATAATAGTTTAAAATCATGTACGTTACAATTAACAACACATAACAAATTAGAAACAGCTTGGTAGTGATCACTTTACCCGGAAGTATTATCATCCATAAATTCCTTATAATAATCCCTTTTACACAAACTTAGTTTAATAAAGTTATTGAACTTTGATGATTGATTGAGATAGACAGACAGGAGCAGTGTCAAGATGTTTTGGTTGATTACTAAGCACCTCCAAACATCTCATAAATTATAACAAAATGACTGGGTAAGAACATGCTTATCTATGTAGCCTTCTCAGAAATGAGAGGAGATCTGTGCCCAGCTGTGGGACGTATACAGGCTGTAACTTTAAAGAATATTTGAAAATGTTGTGATTATAATAATATATTCTTTGATTATAGAACCAATTAAAACACATTTCTAATTTATTTATTTTTTATTCCATTATTTCATATTGCCAGTTTTAAATTATATGAACATTAAATTTTACAATAATTTGTAGTCTTTTCTTTTCTATACGATTATGGAGTTGTGTCAATAAGGCCCGTCATCTACGCGTCTAAATGCAGTGTCGGCTGGTATAACCGAGATCCTTGGCTTGAATCCATCTTCATCAGCCTCGTACTCTACCACCTGGAAAGAACAGAATACATGCCATGAAAATGTATTAATTTTACCACGTTTTCATCATGTCACTTTCTAGTTTTTCTTGCAATTCAAATTTCGAACTTTGCCCGATGGGCTAGGGACTTGAAATTTTGATAATAGCTCAGAATCAGAATTTGTAGGAGAAAAACGTGGTATATTAATTTCTTAGGACAAAGTTTAAAAAAATATACTTGTTTGAACACTTTCGTTTGTTGACAAATTATAGCAACTAGCTACTGTAGTCCAAGGAAAGAAGTAAGAGATCAAAAACAGAAACGGAAACTTTTTTAAATATAGATTATCTGGGGGCACGGCAGTGCCCCCGCCAAGTCGAGCAAAAAAGCGGCACGGCCGTACCATTCTTTTCTCGAAGCAATTCAGGCCATTTTCGACTCCCTATAACTTGATAGTGGATAAAACTAGAAGCCTGAATTCCATTACCAAATAGGCATTATATAAACATGCTCTAGTTCAAATTTCATTCAATTTAAACCAGCAGTTTAAGAATTATAACTAGTCAAAATTTCTTAATTTTGTCACTCACTGACTGACCGATCATCAAAACTCTAAGACAGTTCTAGCAGATATAGATGCTTCAAATTTATAATACAATTAACGTTTAGTGTATAAATCAAGAAAAAACTAAAATATTTTCTAATTTCGGTCCAGTTTTCTAGTAACACTAACTGCATAAATAACTTTGTAATCCTATGTAAATATATAGAATTACAAATTTACATTTGCAGTGATTGAATCAGTCTACTTGGTATACGTATAATAGGTGCAGATAGGTACGTTGTTGGTATTCAAGAAGTAGAAGGTACCGGAAAGGTAAAAAGTAGGACTATCTTATCTACAAAAAGAAATGAGATGCCATCAAAAACATTACTTATAAAAAAAAAACAAGTCTCGCAACTTAGTTCTTCTACCGTGAAGAGTTGTGAGATCCATGTAATACCAAATCGGTTAATTTATTCGGTCCCTACTTAAGGATTCTTCAGTTTTAAGTTATTACGTAATTAATAAAACTACTTTTACGGATTTTATCGCGTTTATTTTTACTTTTTATTTACTTTTATTTTTAATTCCCGACGTGTCATGTCATGTCGTCATGTCATCTCAGTCCCCCGTGACCATGGGTGCTGGAAAGCGCCCGAAACGTCGGGAATTAAAAATAAAAGTAAATAAAAAGTAAAAATAAACGCGATAAAATCCGTAAAAGTAGTTTTAATCATGTATAGTGTTCGCGTAAATATAAGAAATCATTATATTACGTAATTAGTTAACCTAACAACATTTTATAGTGACCATAAAAATTTTAAAACTCTTTTATATTTTAAATATATATATTGATTTGGACATCGCACTAAGCATTCTAATTTAAAATAATATGTATTACTTGCATAGATTCCCCCTATGCTTGCTTGTTTTCATGCGATGGCCAAGTCAATATTTATATTTAAAACATAAAATATTTTTAAAATTGATATGGTGGAAATTAACCGACTTGGTATTACATGGATCTCACAACTTTTTACGATAGAAGAACTGAGTTGCGAGACTTTGTTTTCTGTGCATGTGCAGTCATGTTTTTGTGTGCATAAATAATACTTATTGAAAGTCACTTTTTTAATTTACCACTGATTCGGAAAAAACCTCCGTCCTGAGAAGAACCAGCAAGAAACCCAGCGGGATTTAATAAAAAAAAAAACAGCTTACAATCATGTTTGTTACAATTAACAACTCAATAAATTAGAAACAGCTCGGTAGCGATCACTCTACCCAGGAGTTATTATCATCCATATCTGAAGCGTAAAAGAGATGTAGAAGAACCCCAGTATAATAACAGGCCATGAGGTATTCCATCTTAGTCCTCATTGAGGCCAATTCTTTATTTATGTTGGTTGCAGGTGAACACCTGATTGCTGCCACGTTCCATCAGGTGGGCTTTAAGTTTGTTTTTCAATTCAATTTTTTATAGAACAATGGTGACAAACGAGCACACGTTCCACCTGATGGTAAGTGGGTGCTGTAGCCCATAGACATATGACATCTGTATCCGATGATGAATCATAATGCAGATGCATTGTCACTCCTAAGGCCTAAGATAGTATGTCTTGTTCCTAGTAAAGAAAGAATTAACATTCACAACCTCTTACAATGCTGACTGTCTTACTATAAAGTTAAAGTTACACTTACTCTTACAGCCTATATACGTCCCACTACGTAGGACGTATATAGGCTGTAAGAGAAATGAGAGAACTCTACACGTCTTCGAAACATTTTTTTGTTTCTCAGACATGTAGGTTTTCTCACGATGTTTTCCTTCATCGTGGAGCACGTGGTAAATCAACACTTAAAATTGCTCGCGTACTGTGAAAATTTATATATTGTATTTCAGTGTGTGTTACTACACTAAAATACAATAGTATTCGCATTTGTGTTTGCAGAAATAGATAGGTGGAATTTACTCGGATTCCAAATCAGTACAGCTGATGAAGATGATTTCAACGTAGCTGTTTGGTTCCAGCAGGAAGTACGACAAAGTATCTCCTTTATCGTCTTGCCGGTTTTCCGCGTGGCCAAAGTCACTTCCGCTCTCGTAGTCACTCACTTTGTAGGAGAACTCATAGTTCGCTGGTTCCTGTGTATTTTGATTAGTAAGTTTGAGTAATAGAACGTGAAGAATATCCAGTACCCCATATCGTCCCGTGGGTGTCGCAAGAGGTGAGACAGAAATACAAAGGCAACAGCGTCTTCCTACTAACGACTAGAAAATAAAAGAAACTGCGGTTACCAACCTGCCCACCAAACGTGGCAACTGTGGCAAACATTCCCCTTATCAGGTAACATATGGAGTGACCCCCCCCCGGGTATGTTCAGCAGTGGTCTTCGATAGTCTTTATTGAATGAATAATTAATGGCATTGATACATTTAGTAGTATTTATCATTTCCCTTAAGTTGCGTGTTTGTGCAAAATGCAGCGATAGTCGTTATTTGTGTCGTTTTTAGGAGCTATCTACTTCTTATTAAAATGATATATGAACTAATAAAAAAAACTATTACATTTCTACATAATCTTGATTCCATAATAGCCAATTCCAGGTTTTTTAAAGGAGTAAATACTTGATGAATCTTTCTACAACTAAACAACAGAAATGCGAATTAATTATTAAATAATAAAAAATTATTATATAAAAATTATTGATGACATACATATCCTCATAAAATAAGTTTCATAAGCGAAGCGTTGAGATTGTGCTCTACTCTCACCTGATGGTGTCAAGTAAAGTCGCTTAAGACTGTTCCCCCAGCGAGAGACCTTGAGCGTTCGGTCCCATACAATCCACGCGCTCTCGCTACAATATATCACGGAAAAATACGCCCGAATATTTGGAATTATTTCAATTAAAAGAGATAAGCGAACTTAAGAAATTAAATAAAACGTGTAGAATATAGATTTTTAAATTATCTATCCATTAGTGTAATTCTCAAATGATTAGAGCATTTCCTTTAGCAACAGATGCATGTAATCAATAATTTTAGTCATCTTTAAAAGTAGATTTTAAATGTATTCATACCACATAAAAACAAATTAGAACGTGGAATGTGATGATAGGATATCGAACATTAATAATATGATTTTAGATGTAGCTTATTTCTCATAACTAATAAGATAATAGTCTCTGAAAAACGCACTTTTGCCAGGTTTTGGTCAGGGTACCGCCTTAATACGTAAGTAACATCATGTATTTTATTAACTGCATAAAATATTATAAATCTAAACAAGGTTATAGATATTCATAACAATAAGAACAATGTAATGTACATTGTTCATTGTTAGACACACAAATAACAAAGTATAACAATAATTATTATTACTCACAATTTATCCTCCGTGTACGTATTCTCTGCTCAACAGTTTTAGTAAGACTGCCGCTCGTACCGCTGCCGCTCAAACCGACGACATCTATCTTTTATAGGGTTGTAATTTAACAGTGCTAAACTACAGATGGCGTTGCTTGTGTGGTTTCCGTTACAAGTTTTTATAAAATTGGATTTTAAGCCGTAAGTTTTTACATTATAAAACATTATTTATATTTATTGTAATTATCTAAAACAGTTTTACATTCTAGTTATAAATATAAGCCGAAATAAATAACTAGACATAATCTAAAACATTAATGTACCCGCAGACTTATGGCATGAAAATAATTAATTACCCACCATGTTAGTTACAACAATATAAATTATTAAAATACGCTAACAATGGAAATCCAGTAATTTACTGAGCTAAAAATGTCTTCATTTTTAACTACCGCACTTTAAGAATAATAAAAATACACATATATCGAGAAAAATCACTCGTTTTCATGTTTCTATTATGTTTAAAAGTAATTTTTTGTATTTAGTGTAAAAACAAACTGATTGAAAAAAAAATATCGAGGGTGCCCGGAATTATGTATTAATCGTAGTCGTTATATAGTACGTACGTACGTAGTATTATAGCGAATTAATGTATCAAAATAATTCTTTTTTTATTAGGTTTAGAATCTCAACGCTCAGGTTCCTTTAAAAATCACTGAGTAATTTGTTCTCGTTTAATTGTAATTAATGAAAATGTAAAAAGCAACTGGTACTTTTCTACAAAAAAATATTCTCATGGATCTCTTCTTTTGTCTCAAATATAGAAAAAGAGATATTTTCTTTTAAATAATCAAATGAGATTATAAGGCGTGCACTTTTGGATTTTCCAAACTTTTTTATTTTACGATTGTCACTAATGGATAGGCAATTTATTAATGAACATTTTTATCTATTTAATTTTTTCAAAAGATAAATATTCGATTTTATAAAGAAAATATTTTAAAATTTGGGCGAATTTCTTACGCGATATATTATTGTAGAGAGAGTGCGTGGAATGTATAGAACCGAATGCTGCAGGTCGTTCGCTAGGAGTAGCTTCTTAATTGGCCTCCCCTTTAGATTGTCTAGTAGGCTTTTGCTATAGTTGCTACGCTTGCAAGGCGGGATGGCAAAAGAAAAATGTTGCTGCCTATATCCTGTTTCAGTTTCCCTCTATCCCCACTTACGACTCCTACGGGATGAGATGAGGTAGCGGATTTTCTTACTCCGCTGTTTAACGCTTCGATATCCTTGTGCTTGCTTACTTGTAATATTTCGTTTACTTGACTTTGTAGTTTTTACCTGATTAAGCAATTCTAAATAATTTCTTGCATAGCTCTCGTAGCTCTGGTCTGAGTATTCGTCGAGGTTTCTTGAAGCCCCGTACTGCGGCGAGGGTATGGCGGTACGAGATGATGGTGCACTGTATTCCCGAGATGATGATCTGTTAAACCCAAGATGAATGTTATCTCTGGTGTATTGGCCTGGTTTATTAAGAATCACCAGTGTATCCAAAGTATTGGACATAATTTTTTTGGGGTGGTGTGACATACAAGCACACAGTCCATCTGATGGTAAGTGGTTACCCTCCCCCCTCGATTACGAATAAAAATGCAGATGCGGTGTCACCCGCGAGGACTAATATGAAATGTCTCGTTTCCAGTAAAAAGGGTCTCCGGTTCTAGACTCACCATACGAAACACAGCACCATTAAGCTACTATTTTAGGCTGGTATTCTGTGAGAGCGTGGTCCTTCCCCAATCGGGCCGACCCAATCGTGCTACAATTATACAACTAATATAACTGCAGCGTGGCTCCACCACGTATAATAACGATCAACAGAACGTTTCTGCCATGCATATAGACTAACTGTACGATACATTTTATTTTACTATAGTGGACCAGTGCTTATCTAACTATCCCGATGGTAAGTGATGATGTTAAATGGACGAAGAATGTTCAAGCGCAATGATTTTGCTTAAAAGATTGTAATCGAATGACTATTCTATTCATTTCTGTACGCATAACGAATGGCGAAGAAAACTATTTACATGGTTCTTTATTATTTAGATCTGGAGCCAGAGAAGAAATTTAGAGTTGTGCTTTCGTCTTTTACATTAAACTCTGATACTGGTCTATTTTTTACGTGATAGAGCCACGCTGCAGCTATATTATAGTTGTAGCACGAGTGGATCGGCTAGACCGGTGAGTTTAGAGAACCGGAGATCCTTTTTACTGGAATTCAGGCATTCCATTTTAGTCCTCAGGGGTGACTATGCATTTGCGAAGAGCTTCTAGTATTCGAAAAGCCACTGTTTCTATGGAATGGGGCATTGTAATCTTCAGTTTTCGTTGGTTGGAATTCAGGGGCACCGTATTGTATGGTTGGAGACGATCTGAGTGATGGAGCACTGTATACTTCCGAAGGAGACGTTCTTACAGCACCGTACCGTTGAGATGTTCCTGTTTTTGAATTAACCGCCGAAAAAATCTGTCCCAAAGAGCTAAGAGGGTCGTATTTTTGTGAGAGATGAAATGACGGTGCATACTCCTCTGATAATTTACTCCCAGATTCTATACCACTACGCAAGTTGGGAGTTCCATATTCCTGAGATAATCCGCCACGGAAGCTAGGAGGTCCATATTCTTGGAAATTCCCTGGTATTTGGTCCATGATATTGGTGAGAAATGGTGTTAGTAAATGCTTTGGAGCCACGTACAGATGATTCAGGTAAGTCCGGTAAATATTGTTGAGGAGACTCTACGTGGCCTGATCGGGCTGCTGCTAAGTAACTATCCCTAAAACATAAGTTACTTGTTATGTATATTCCTTTCTTAGAGTGTAACTTTTAAAATATCAATTTTAATTAATTTGATGCTTTTTATTGATAAATTTTGAATTTTTAGTAGTTAGTACATTACGATACAAGGGACTTGAGTAGGCGATTATTGAATTGTGTGAAGTTAGCGCACGAGCGATGCGAATGCACTAACTTCACGCGTTTTAATAATCGGTTACTTAAGTTCCGTACATGGAGTATAGACTCCATTGTTCAGTGTATCGTACATTATTTTATAGTAAAAGTAATATAAATCCACTTTTTTAATTGAAAGTTTGTAGAATACTATTAGTAAATGATTATAAAGACAAAAATCATGTCAAAAATTAAATAGAAAGATGTGTTAATAAGCTATGTGATATATGATACTTATGTCAAAACATTAAGACAAAAATGTACAAAAAAGTGACTTTATGTCTAGTATTATTATATTTATTTGTTCAAAAGATAAGAATGCGTGGAAATAATAACATTTAACTTTAGGGCTTTTAGCTTTTTTACCGCTTACCGCGTTTACCGTGCAGTGGCGGTGTGAGAATATCCACTGCCTCATATCATCCCGTGGCTGTCGTAAAAGGCGGCGAGGGAAACAAACCTAGAGATGGCCATCTTCCCAGTAAGAAAAAAGAAGAACATCCCCTCTATAAGGCAATCTATGGGGGAGGCCTATGTTCAGCTGTGGACTTTAATAGGCTGTAACGGTAACGTTAGTATTCTTGGCTTACTCGTTGGTCTAGTAGTTGTAGCAGTACGATTGCTGACCACGAGGTCCTGGGTTCGAATCCCGGGTCGGGCCACAAAACTAATTATTGAGTTTTTCCGTTAAGAAATTCTCAGTAGTTACCCGGAGTTAGAAAGTTGGCGGTGTCTCACCCCTGTGCCTCGGAAAGCACGTTGGTCCTGCGCCTGATCCCTCTCCGGTCGTGTCGGTTTACAGTCACATCGGATTATGAGAGTGAGAGGGAGTAGAGAGTGCACCTGTGCTTGCGCATACACTTGGGCACTATAATCCTGTCCTGCGCCACCTCTGCTGAGGCAGACGCCGTGGCCGAAATTTGGTCTGGAGGATATTATTATTATTCTTGACTTCAAATATAATGCTTTATGCAAGCCAAAATTAACGAAAAATTTGACTTTTACTTAGTGTTATTTAATTTACTAACATAGTAAGAAATACTGAATTATTTTTTAACGTCTGGAAAAAAACCAGGTGAACGGAATAGAAGCCTACGGCACTGATATCTTACATTTTTGTTTCATTAACATATTATGAAATTGATCTTTAAACAAAATACTACTACTTGAGTGCATATTATTTTAATTTGGATAGTTTTCAATTGATTTATTTATTTAGTTCAAAATTTTTGTATTTATTTTTTAGTATGTACCGAAAGTCTATTTCAAATTAATAGTATTTATTGATAGATCAATTTCATAAAAATATTTTGATGTAAAAGCAAAAGAAAACAAGTTAAATATCAGTGCCATAGGCTTCTACTCCGTTCACCTGTAACACACTGCTTTTTCCAGACGGTAAAGAAATTCATCTATTATAGAACAATCAAACGCAACTCACGCAACCGGTGGCTCAGCCATTGCGAACGAGAACACACTTAATAAAAGGAATAACATCTGCAAGAAATAAAAAAAATGTTTTTACATATTTCTATTACAGAAGAAGCGTGGCAAACGAGCACACAGTCCACCTGATGGTAAGTGGATACTGTGGCCCGTAGACATATGCAGATTCGTTGTCACCCCTGAGGATTAATATGAAATGCCTCGTATGCAGTAAAAAGAGTCTCTGGATCTCTGCACTCACCATACGAAACACAGCTGTATTCAGCTGCTATTTTACGCTGGTATTCTATGAGAGCGTGGTCCTTTCCCGGTCGAGTCGACTGACCGGGGAAATTTCACGTTCTCACAAGCCCTTTCGTTTTGACATAATAAAGTCCATATACTTATATTCCATCTTTGTTCCTAAGGGTGACAACGAATCTGTATATGGGCCACAGCGTCTTGTGGGCCACAGCATCCACTAACCATCAAGTAGACAGCGTACTTATTTACAGATGTCCTGCTCAGCTGAATTGGTACACAGGTAACTTCCGATCGCATTTAATTATGACCGAAAGTGGGCAAAGTGAACATAGAATATAATATACTCCAACTTTTATATATATATTATTTTTTCCAACGTTTATATATATTAACGTTCTAAATCAATGCGGTTAAAATTGGTAATAATTATATAAAAAAAATCTACCCACTTTTACACGTTAAAAATGAACGGTTCCAGATGAAACGAACCAGTTGAATACTTTATCAGAAACATCTTGCACTATTTATATTGATCGTTTGACTGAAGGAAAGCTCGACCGCATCACAGGCTATGTTTCACAACTAAATTGCACATTGCATGTTCACTCTATCATTATAATAAGAACAGGTAAAGTCAGAGAAGGTGCGAACACACGTGTGTCAAAATTCGTCCTACTGTTAATAAAAACCTTCATAGCATGCGTGTGACGACACCGAAAATCAAGAATGTCCCGTTGAAGTAGTGTTGCCCAAAATCGGTCTTGGTCTTGCAGTCTTGGTCATGTTCTTGCATTTTTGCAAGACCAAGACCAAGACTGCGCAAGACCAAGACCAGACTGAAGGCAGATTTGAGCAAGAACAAGACTAAGCCTGCGAGACTCTTGCGTCTTGCAGTTAGGAATGAGTGTCATTTCAGGGAGTATAGGAGTTCGGGTATACGCTTAGGGACTCTATGAGACGTAAAAAATATATTAAAAAAAATCGGAAAATCGGACTTCTGCGCATTACGAACAATATCACAAACATACATAGCGGATGAAAATATCCATTAAAAGAAAAAAACAGTGCATCCCCAGTTTTGACCATCGGCACTTTGATAGTGCGCGGCGTCTTGTTGTCGGCATCATCAAAGGTCGAATATATTATACATATAAGGTCAAGATACACGCGCCGGCGGCTTCTATTGATATTGCATTTAGTCGTCGCCACCGCGCCGCAGGCACTACATTTGACACTGTTTGAATGCCGCCCCAGAGTACATGTTCCAAAGAATAAAATAAGTTTCCGGGTGCTCAGAATGGACACGAATACATTATGCTGATCTCGCAAGGAATATAGTAATTAGATAATGGTAAGGATAGGTAGATACCATAATAATTTATTCTAGTAAGTAATTATTATAATATTAACTATATGGGTTTATAATAATTAGTACTATTATTATTATTATTACCTAATAGATAAACATGTTCAATAAGTTCACTGCAAATCTCGATTTTTGGAAGTGCGTGTTTTTGAACACAAAGTGTTCGAATATGTCGTCACCCATTTGATAAATATTGTAGATACTTTTAACACACTTGAAACGTGTAAACATTTTGTACAATGCTAATCGAATAATATAAAAAGGGTGCATATTAAATAAAAAGCGAAAAGTAAGATCTATGTACTTTTTAGGAGCCCGAGTATCTCTGAGAGAACCGTTTAAAGTAATTGATTGCATCGAATTGATGTAAATAATAGTGATTTGCACAATTTTAATAGTAGAAATAAAAATAAAATCACAATACCTGCTTTCCGGTTACACAAAGTATATAATGCGTTCTTGGGTAGCGATATGCGCTTTTATAATAAGATTCCAAAAGAAATGTTAGATCTTTCACCATTTCAATTTAAGTCAGACAAAAATGCTTGGAACTGACCTCTCGTACTACACACGACTAACTAGAAATTTCTAAACCGATTTGGTATCTACATACACATTTGACATTTTATGTTTGACTTATCGCTTTACATAATTATAGAACTATTGTAAAAATATTTTGAAAAGAGCAACTACTGAGTTTCTTACTTTCTTCCAGAATTCTTCTCAGAAGAATCAGAACCCCTGGACATGGAAAAGAAAAAATGGGGTAAAACAGTGAATATATGACTACTCAAAAGTGTATTTTTAATGCCTACTTGAATAAAACATATTTGAATTTTGAATTTCAAACGAGTGAAGGCAAATTTAATTTAATTAACGTAGATTAATTCAATCACAAGAAGAACATAATATACACAATTTTATTTACATATTTACATTTCATTTTTACGTAGGCATACTATACCAATCTGGCATCGCATCTACTTTATGAATCTTCTGAAGAATCATTAATTTTATCAAAGGATGCCGAAATTTCCTTTGTTGATCTTTCGGCGTGTACTTACAAATAGTAGTATTTATTTTAATTCTACTCATTCCCAATTGAGCTTTGCTTCGAGTCTAATGTATTAATTGTTTTTACTCTAATCCTTGTTGTTCTCGGAGTGATAAGTTTACAATTTGAGTGATCAGGTACAATTTCGTTGACAAGAAAACTCTAACTAAAACTCGACCTGAGATAGTTCAGATTAAAATTCTTAAATTTATATTATTTTATTTTTAATGAGTTTGTAAGTAAAACTAATGGGTCATCACTTAACCAATATCAGTTTTGCCTTTTATATTCGTATCATATTTCCCTTAAAGAAATTGCATAACGAAGTTATAAAAGTATATTGTAATCATAAAATAATGTTTCGTTCCTAAGTTACTACACAACTCTACAAAAAAGTCTTAACAGAATAAATTTTGATAAAAGGGGCAAGGGTTAAATAAACTGATAATTCATAAACTTAAAAAATTGAGTGGGTTTTAAGATCAGAAACCAATAAGTTCTTATATTGTGCCCATATTATTCAATGTAATTTTATAGTATATAAAATGAACACATTTATTGAAGCACTGATTTTATTTATAGTTGCTGCA